GACGTGTTTTTCATTTTTTCAAAATTTTCTTGCGTTCGCGATTTTTGGGGAAATTTGTATTTTTTAAATGGATTTTTGTACACAACTTTTCTCGAAAACGGCCAAAGATATGACATTGAAACTCATGGACATGAAAGACCATCACATGTAGATGTGCCGAACGTCCTTCATTTTTTGTCGTTCCTACGTCCGGTCGCAAACGGAAGTGAATTCAAAAAGTCTAATTTTCAACTTTTTTGTTTTTAAATTTTTTTCTTTCGGATTTACAGGGTTTATAGAGCGTCTTCAAAGATATCTATATATGTTTTCTTTTTTTTCATGCGTGCGTTTATTGCAAAGATATGACAGAACCAAACTTTGTCTTAATGTCGGGGGTTCGAATCCCGCTCGGGTCGTTCCCCAAATTTTTTCTTTGTTTTTGTCTTTTTTCACTTGCAAATTTCTTTTCACTCTTTTATAACATGTGTGGAAGATTTTGCCGATTTTTTAAAGCTATATTTGGAGATATTTTGTGAAATACCTGGAACAATCACGATCTTTGTTTAGAAACTGCTGTAAATGAACGTAAACGAAAAAATACATTATGAAATCTATTTCATGGGATGACGCAGACAATATGGAAAAAGAGAAGTCGGTCGGAAGACCTGCTTGTTGCACCAGCAACAAGAACGCATCTAGTTATTATTATTATTCTTTTTTCATAGTTAGGGTGATATCTCAGCTGTAAATGTACAGATTTCAAAGATTTTTATAGGACAGATCCATCTATTTAATATCTCCAGACGTGTTTTTCATTTTTTCAAAATTCGCTTCCGTTCGCGATTTTTGGGGAAATTTGTATTTTTTTAAATGGATTTTTGTCACCTAATTTTCCCCAAAACGGCTAAAGATATGACATTGAAACTCATGGACATGAAAGAGCATCACATGTAGATGTGCCGAACGTCCTTCATTTTTTGTCATTCCTACTTCCGGTCGCAAACGGAAGTGAATTCTAAAAGTCTCATTTTTCAACTTTTTTGTTTTTCAATATTTTTCTTTCGGATTTACAGGGTTTATAGAGCGTCTTCAAAGATATCTATATATGTTTTCTTTTTTTTCATGCGTGCGTTTATTGAAAAGATATGACCGAACCAAACTTTGTCTTACTGTCGGGGGTTCGAATCCCGCTCCGGGCGTTCCCCAAATTTTTTCTTTGTTTTTGTCTTTTTTCAGTTGCAAATTACTTTTCACTCTTTTATAACATGTGTGGAAGATTTTGCCGATTGTTAAAAGCTATATTTGGAGATATTTTGTGAAATACCTGGAACAATCACGATCTGTGTTGAGAAACTACTGTAAATCTACGTAAACGAAAAAAATATATTATGAAATCTATTTCATGGGATGATGCAGCATAGAACGCTAAAGAGAAGTGGGTCGGAAGACCTACTTGTTGCACCAGCAACAAGAACGCATCTAGTTATTATTATTTTTCTTCCTGGGAAAATTTTGTCCGCGAGTGATCTTGTAAACTACACATTCGACTTAGGTGAAACCTTTTTAGGGTAATTAGGCATGTTATGTAGATTTGCGGAATCAAGGTCATTTTGCGCGCACGTGCTTGCAAGAGCGCGCACGTGCAAAACTTGAAATGACCAATATATAATTGATATAACCGTAACTTTTCTATTTTTAGACGAAATGTTTTGAAACTCATAATGTAAGGATATATGAGTAGTATGCACAAGATGATATGGTCAAAATAGCAAGATCGCACGTGCAAGCACGTGCGCTTCGCTTTGATTGGCTGAAACTAAAGTCTCAATATCTTTCTTATTTTTTGATAAAATCATTTGAAATTTTGAACATAGTCATACATTAGGGAGATCTACAGCCAGTAATAAAAGAAATATCATGCATGTGCATGCACGAGTGCTTGCAAGAGCTCGCACATGCAACATGAGAAATGTCCAATATAATTGATACAGAAGTAATTATTTAGATTATTGATGATATGCTTTAAAACTCATATTAGATGTATATATTAAAAGCATAGACAAGATGACATGGTCAGAAAAGCAAGATCTCACGCGCATGCACGTGCGCTTCGCTCTGATTGGCTGAAATTTAAGTCTCAATATCGTTCTTGTTTTTTGACGATATCCTTTGAAATTTTAAACATAGGCATGTATTAGGGTATCCTACAATAAGATATATAGCAATTATCATGAAAACGCGTGCATGCACGTGCGCTGCAATCTGATTGGCTTATGCTTTAAATAGCTATAATTCCCTTGGTTTTCAACCAAACAGGATGGGATTTGGAACATGAATAGATATAATGGACTTCTTCAAGAAGATATGGTCACCGTGCACATGCATACACGTGTATGTACGTGCGCTGCAGTCTGATTGGCTGAAACTTTGAACAGCTATAACTCCCTTGGTTTTCAACCAAACAGGGTGGGATTTAGAACATAGATAGATCTAATGGACTTCTTCAAGAAAGTAAGGTCGCCATGCTCATATGAGCACGTGCATGCACGTGAAATGAGTAAAATCAAAAATACCTGGAATTAGCTTATTTTTTAATACTTTGGATTAAATGCTTTGTTATTTATTATATTAAAATCTATACATTGTGAAGACAAGATTATATGGTCATTACGCACGTGCATTCACATGCGCACGCGTGCAATGCTAAAATTTGAATGAAATTGGTACACTTCTGGGTAAACGTTGTTAAAGTCTCAAATCATAGATTTTGTCTTATTTAACGAATCTTGTAGGGAATATGGCACCAAAAGGGAGTTGGTGAGCGTTTGGGGAACATCTGTAACGGTCCCCGTTACAATTAGAACTAGTTTTAATTGTTTTCAACTTAAAGTGTTCTTTTGTTTTGATAACAAAAATCACACACAAATTTCAGCTGATATTGAAATTGGTGGAAACAAATATATTATTTACCTTCTAGTGAAGTGTGCCTTGAAACGTTGTTTGATTTTGCCTGGGGAGATAAAGGATGCAAGTTTACGTTAACAGATGCTACACAGTGGCTAGAAGCAGCAGGTAAGCAAATGAAATTGGTCCAAGCCCGGGTTAGGAAGCCACCCCAGGCCTAAATAGAGACTATTTCAGGTAAAGAAAAAAGATGTTATTAAATAGACAAAAAATGTAGAAATATTTGTTTGTGTTGTATTTCAAAAGATTTAGTATTTAGTATGAATTTCTTTGACACAAACAAGTTATTCATATCGAACCATGGGGTCTTACATGCATGTTATGTTAAAGCCCGAGATAATAAGCACTGCCTTCAGATTTACTGGTCTGTAATCCCCTGTCAATCAAATAAACTATATGGTCTATCATTGGGTACTTGAAAATGATCGACATTTAGCTGCTAGTCCCTGTGTATGTCTCTTTCACCTTGTTTGACACGCGTGGTCACCATCCAATTAACTTTTGGTTTTCTGATGTTTACCGCTAAATCACCATCTCGGTGAGGATGCCATTTCGATGCAAACAAGTTTAGCTTGATTATAACTGATTACAATTATGTATTACAAACATTGAAAAATGAAAATGTTCTGATAGTGTTTAAATAAAATAAATCAAGATTGTGTGATTATCTTTCTAAATCATTAATGAAAAGTGCATAGGTGGATGAAATTTTGTTTTTACTCGTTATAAGATTCTTGTTTTGAAACGCAGCGAAAAAATAAAAGAGAAAATAACCTGGTAACAGTTTTTTTCTTGAAATGGATGGTAAGGGTGGAAAACAAAATGCCTGATAAGTAACAACTTCGCCTGGACAGGTATTAAAGTATTAAGAGTTTCTTTCTTTTCTATTTTTATAAACGAGCATGCTAATTGGGTTCTAACCTCCGTTCAAGGTCACGGGTGTTAAAAATAGTTTTGAAAGAAATTAGAAAAGTTTTTTTAATTATTATCTAAATTTACGTATCGATAATTACACACTTGTATGTAATTTTAACTTGGCGAATCATCGTTATAGCGAATTTTTCACAAGATACAGAATGTACAATGTACATTTGCTAAAAAGGGACAACGCGACTTTCTATACAAATGGGAAGTAACTGTTTACTGTATATGTATGATCGTGATCGAAGCTCTTTATTTACGATAATTATGAATAGTTTTTGAGATTTTGAAAAGGACAGGCAAGGATGAGTATTTTACTCTTGAATTTATACCCAAGTCATTGGTGCTGTGACGAACAATGTTAGATACATTCCGTCGATTTTATTTTTTTACACAAAAGTCGACATATGAGATTTATTGACTTTTGACCTGGGTTGAAAATTGACCCAGGGTCATTTTTCAACGTTGAAAACTGAGGCCTAAGATGTTGCATTTAGACCCTAGTCCGTTGAAAACTCGGCCAGATCGGGGAATTTGATCATGAAACCGGTTCTAAATTCAACAGCATGAAAACACAGATTTATGGCTTGGTTTTCTCAGCTGTGATTTAATCCACGGGCGTCGAGAAGGGTGGGGTCAATATTCAATAGAGTCAATTTTCAACTTGTTGAGGTCATCAGGGATAAGTAAAAAATTATCAAGCTGTTGAAATATGACCCTGGGTGTAAATTCAACGACCTTTGGTCTCAATTTTCAGCGGAGAAAAACACCCCTGGTTCAATATCCAATGTTGGAAAATGACCCCGGGTCAACTGACTAGTCAAATATATACAATACTTAACCACTTTTGTGATGTCGCAAGGCAGATATCGTTATAAAAATATCTTTTTTAAATCGGATTTTTCTTTATAGTAAAGTATTACGATGTATAATCATTATTATTATCTTAAATGCTGTTTTCTTATTTTTTCCAGAGACAAGTTTTTGTCCTAGAAAATGTCGCGTAAAAATCAACAACTTAGAAGAAGAAAAAGGGATATTTAAAACCAAGTATCGTTTGGAATTCATAGAACTAAGAATCAATGGCTTGATCGAGGATTTTATCACAATGGAAAGGAAATGCAATATTATACTAGATCCATTAAATCCATTTAAAGATGAGAGAACAATGACCATTAATTGCAAAACAAATTCAGAAAATTGTAAGTTCGCATATTCCATTGAGAAATTTTTATACTACTGACCGATATGTTTTTATCCAAAAAATATGTAGAACAAATTAAATAATTTCACTCTACGGCGATCATCAAACGTTTATAACCTCAGTATGAACATTTTTGGTCATATTGAGACTATTTATGTTAGTCGTCATATTTTCATTTTATGCACATTACTTTGCTCCAATGAAATATCTCTTTTAATCTGACGCGCCAGATTATCAAACACAGCTGAAGAACATTCGATATAAAAACATTTATTTTTAATTATTCTCTCAAACTTTGACTCACTTTGGATTCAGCGGGTTTAAGTTGATAGTATAGTTACAGAATTTGAATAATTTATTCGTAGCAGCACTGGGTTAACTTACCATTCACAGCTGAATGATCCATTAACATAAGAAATTTTGGAAATATTTCTTTAGTTATTTTTTTTTCATTGATATTTTATGTTAAAATTTTTAGCACTACATGGATAAAAGGTGTAGATTAGAGGGAAGAAATAAACAGGAAAACATATAAAATGTAAGGTAACATTTCCATTGCAGTAAACAGCTCAAAAAGTTTGTGTTCATCAACCCAGAACTGTACAGAAGATTCCAAGAAATGTTTATCGACGGGAAATATCTGTTCATGCAGGTCTGGGTATATAGGATTCGAAAATAAATGTTTAAAGGGTAAGTACTTCAAGTCGCAGAAATTTATTCTACGATAAAAGGACCAAATAAGAATATCAAACAAAATGAAAAATTAAAACAAAAAATAACAACATTTTATTGTAAAGGACATTTTAGGGCTCTTAAAAAAGTTCTAGCAAATACTCGATGATAACGCTTTAACGAAGAAGAAAAGGAAGACATCTGGTACCGTTATTTTTATTATTATTATTTTTTAACTTTTTCAAAATGTCAGCGGATATAAGGTTATGCTAGGGAATATAATCTTATAATTGAATTCATTATTATTGTTAAAAAATAATATTTTCCTTATGTTGTCTTTAAAACTTTTGGACATGCTTTTTGAGGCCTGACATAAATAACGTATATTTGTTAAACTTTCCAGGAAGTTTCATTTGGTTTTAAATTTTAAGGATAAAAGTTGAAATTCTATGAAAAATGAAAAAAAAAAAAAACAAAGCAAAATTGAAATGATATCAATGTTTATTTGAAAAATAAAAAAAACAAAGCAAAATTGAAATGATATCAATGTTTATTTTTAAACTGATATATACATGTACATATATTTACATTATGTGAAATTTTTTGAAACCACCTAAAATATTCAATTCATCCAATATTCAATACACTTGAACACACGAAACCTTGTTATATACTGCGTTGTAGAATACACCGCTATATTTTCAATACACTAGGAACACAGAAAATAGAATGTCTTTGGTTTAATTTAATTAAAACATTTACAAAACGAAATCATCACAAAAATATAAAACAAAAAACTGTATATTAATATTTATAATTGTCTTTTTGCTCCTCGTAATATTCATTTGTATCATTTAACTTGCCTCGCCACAACCTTTTTAAATGCTCTTACGTCTGTATTAAAGGAAAACTCTGAATTCATAATTAAGAACAACAAAATTAACAATTATAAAGAGGGAAATTTAGTGAGTGTTAAGTTTTAGCATTGATTTTTTTTTGGATGTTATCGGTCTGATCACAGCGTCTGGAGTACCAGCAAATTGTGGCTTCATCAATTTTCGTGGATTTTGTAAAACAGACCTTATCGAGGACACGTAATTTTGTAGATTAAAGTATTTACAACTGAATACAGTACCATATTTCTAAATTCAATGAACATTTGAATTCATGGAACTGCTCAAGAACAAAATTCTCGAAATTGTTGCTCAACGAATACTGATGAAACCATTGTATTATAGAGCTTTTATATAATATGCTCGGTATAGGAACGACGGGTAATAATAATGCAGTACTTAAGTTAACTCAATAAGTAACTGCATACAATTGAAAGTTGCATCATTTTTCTTATTTATCAGGAAATTTGAAATTGAATGACACATGTCAGCGAAATGAGCAGTGTTCTATGGTATCAGGCTTGATTTGTCAGAATGATACATGCGTCCGTCGGCGTGGATATTTTTCACTGAATGATTCAGAATGTTCTACATGTAAGTTTATTTATAATCAATGTATATATCGTTTTACAGTAGATTCATTGTTATCGTGTTTCTTTCTATTTCCATTACTGGAAGTTTTCAAACTAGAAACGCGTTTGGTCGGCTGACTGGAACAATAGTGACCTAGTGAAGAATACAAAACATGCTGATCTTATGAATGAAAAATGTATTTGTCATTCCAGTTAATGAATAAAATTCTTTCACCATTTTACCTACTAGATGCACTCAAAAGATTACTTTTGTCCTGAATTTATCATCCACTACAGTCAACACAAAATCTTTCAAACAACTTCCTGTAGGAATAAATCGACAGGATTGTTTCTCCATCTGATGCGTTTTTAGTTCAAAACAATCCCCTTTTTATTTGCATTCTAGTTAGACTTTTTCCACAGACATTCAACATAGTGTTTATATGTTAACGTTGTAACAAGTTTCATCAGAAATTCAACGAGAAAGTGCGCATTTAGAACTATAACTTACTTTCTATGATGGAAATAAAACGCAAAGAGCAAGAACCACTTCTGGCCTTATTTGGCCCTGAGAATTTCTAAAAAATCAAAACTGCTCAGTTTAGATTGCAAATGCAGTATTTATCACTTGCAGTGTTGGTGACCACGTATCTATTAATCGTGACGTAATTTCCTATCTAGTCAATGCATTATGACGTCATAAAATGCGTCATTTTGCTCGTATTCTGTAAATTCCTTTGAAAATGACCTAAAGTTGAAGAATTTTTTCAACATTTCATAAATAGCACAACCTCTGATCCAAAATATGCAAATACATAATGAAAGCTCTGTTTCTGAAGATTAAAAAAACATGTTTTGAATTTTGGATCGTGGGCTGTGCTCATATTTTAATTCTTTGCTGAAAGTAGCCAAATACGCATGTTTTCTTCAAATTTGAAGATCATTGCAATTTCGCAGACCTGTTTTCAATATCTGAATAATCAAAACGAATTTTTTTTTATAGAAAATGAAAGCACTAATTGTCTACTTTATTTTGTTATATGAAATGGAAAGAGGGTGATAGTTAATTAATTGATATAAGTAGAGGGCCATTTTATGCATAAGATGGCTCTTGCTCTTTATGTTTTTAAAAACAATTTTAATATTATTTTAAATATTATATTAATTTGCTCTAACAGTTAATTTTGAATGTGTACAACAATGTTAGGACTATAAATTTTAATTTATTGAAATACTGGTGATTCATTTTTGTGTGCTCACCAAGCTCTCCCTTTTATGTTGCAAAGTATTACAAGAATTAAATGAGGATATGTTACTACTTTCAGCGAGATCAGGTGGTAGTTTGCAAGCAAATACTCGGGAGCAGGAAAGTAAGCATATTTCCAGTATTAGATTTACAAATTTGGGCAATGATTAAATCAAAATAAATAAAACATATGCATTAAAATTTGAGGGTTTATCCCACAATATGTAATAATTTCGCAAAAAGCAAAAAAATTAAATCTTTTATTAAGGTATCCGATCCATATTAGCCTCAGATTGACTGGAATTGAATGTATAATGGATATGTATGGGCTGAATAAATAGTGTGGTTAGAACTAATTTTCATCTTTTAGTATCAGAATGTAAGAGTGGGACATGTCCTAATTTTTTACCTTTTCTGCCCTTGACGAGTTATCTCCCTTTGATTTTACTCAATAAAAATTAATTTTAAAAAAATCTGTCTGGTAAAAAAATTATTTCTAATTGTTTTTCTATTCCCAATGATCAAATACATCTTTCCACCACAGCATTTTTTGATATTTGAAGTATTTATTTTTTTTTATCTTAAAAAACTTGCATCCTTCCATAGACTTCAATGCAATCTCCAATAATTAATTTCTGCTTAGGTAATAAAATTTTTGAAAATTTATCTTGGTAAATCCCTTTCTACTCTTAAATGCTTTAAAATAATATCAGGATATTTTACAAACAATTGATATTTAAGGTTAGAAATTTTGGTCCTAATATGGGTCGGATACCTTAAGTTCGTACATGTACAGTAAGAGAAACAAAATAAGGAAAAAAATGTAGATAAATTTGGTTGGGATGGTCGGGACGTTGGAGGATCTGCAGTTAGAAATCAATTCAAGCCCGCTGATAAAAACTTTCTTACCCTTTTAAGCTCACCTGAGCTGAAGGCTCAAGTGAGCTTTTCTGATCACATTTTGTCCGGCGTCCGTCTGTCCGTCCGTCCGTCTGTCTGTCTGTCTGTTTGTAAACTTTTCACATTTTCGACTTCTTCTCAAGACCCGCTGGGCCAATTTCAACCAAACTTACCACAAAGTATCCTTGGGTAAAGGGGATTCAAGTTTGTTCAAATGAAGGGCCACGCCTTCATTGAAGGGGAGATAATTGGGAATTAATGAAAATTTGGTGGCATATTTTAAAAATCTTCTTCTCACGAACCAATGTGCCAGAAAAGATGAAACTTATGGGGAAAGATCCTCAGGTAGTGTAAATTCAAGTTTGTTCAAATCATGACCCCTGGGGGGAGGGCGGGCCAAAATGACCGACCAAAGTTTTACATAGAAATATATAGGAAAATTCTTTAAAAATCTTCTTCTCAAGAATGACAAAGCCATAATTCATAATATTTATATGGAAGCATGCTCAGGTAGTGTTGTTTCAAGTTTGTTCAAACCATGATCCCCGGGGGTAGGGCGGGACCAAAATGGCGGACCAAACTTTGACATAGAAATATAAAGGAAAATTCTTTAAACATCTTCTTCTCAAGAATGACAAAGCCATAATTCATCATATATAAATATATGGAAGCATGCTCAGATAGTTTAGATTCAAGTTTGTTCAAAGCATGACCCACGGGGGTAGGGCGGGGCCAAAATGGGCAACTAAAGTTTTACATAGAAATATATAGGAAAATTCTTTAAACGTCTTCTTTTCAAGAATGACAAAGCCATAATCATCATATTTATATGGAAGCATATTCAGGTAGTGTATATTCAACTTTGTTCAAATCATGACCCCCGGAGGTAGGGCGGGGCCAAAATTGCCGACCAAAGTTTTACATAGAAATAAAAAGGAAAATTCTTTAAAAATCTCTTCTTAAGAATGACAAAGCCATAATTCATCATATATATATATGGAAGCATGCTCAGGTAGTGTAGATTCAAGTTTGTTCAAATCATGATCTCCGGGGGTAGGGCGGGGCCAAAATGGCCGATCAAATTTTTCTAAGATATATATAGGAAAAAATCATTTTCTAAAAAATAGTAAATCCATGATTGGTCATGGGACTACTTTTGGATTTAAACTTTACCATTAAAAGCCATTTTCTACTTTTTCCTACCCTTAGTGCTCAGGTGAGCGATGTAACCCATGGGCCTCTTGTTTGTGCAAAGTTTCTTAAACTGGACACATCATAATTTAGTTTGTGAAATTCGTTGCAGAAGACAATGCAGCTAGTGTGACAGTTGGAGCTGTTATTGGAGGCCTTATCTTAGGCATTGTCCTTACTATTGCAGTAGGAACCATCCACCAACATCTACGATATGGAAAATTTAAAACTAAGTATAAAATATTTGCGTGGTTATATTTAACTTTGACCCTGTGTTTAAAAACTTCTGACATCAGTTCCTTTTAACCTATTTAAAAAGGGAGATAGCAACTCAAATTTTATGTTTTATAGAGAGTGTTCAAGGACCGCTGTTTTTAATAATGCTACGTATGAGACTGAAACAGACATGCTTCAAAACAATGCTACCCAGGTAAGAAACCTGTACTATTACTTAATAGATAACATGTTTAATAGACTATTTGACTTACCCTTACCGAGCTGTTGATGATACTGGTACTTTAATCTCGTACAACGAGTAAAAATATAAAAATGTATAAGCATATTGGGAAAAAATTATTCTGGGATATAATTGCACGACGTTCTATATATTGAGTGTACAAATATTTATCTTAAATGTCAGTTTTATTACTACATTTACAAAATTTGTCTTTAAAAAATACTGCTTTTAATTACTTTTAACTTTTTAAAAGAATCTTTAACTAATTAATTAAGATATTTTTCTTTGTATATAAATACAGTTTGAAATTTCAGAGAAACTATGTATGCCTCTTTGAATTCAATTGTTTTTTTGGTTTTCAAGGTTTAAAAAAGCACATCAAAAACTTTATTTTGAAAAAAAAAATTAAAGAAAAGTATTTTTCAGAGAAAAGTTGTAAACGTACCACCGCTTGCTCATTCCGATGAATTACACGAGAACGGAGACCCCGAAGGAGGTTTAAAAAGCTCAATGGAAAATAATGACGTAAATAATGACGTATACAATCATCTTCATGAAAAGGAGGAAAATCTCGAAGTTGATGAAAATTATGACCACGCTCATGGAAACATAAATCATTCAATGGAAGAAAGTGACTACAGTGATCTCAATACTGGGAAAAATCATGAGCGATCTAATGTTTTTTCTTCTGAAGATAATGATTACGACGACCAAGATCAAGTTGATGATTACTGTTCACTAAAACAATAAATAAAGATGATAACATGTTTGTGTGTGTGCCTAACTCAATTTCCCACTGTTTGTCGCCTTTTATTTAAACTCAACGAACCTCATTAAAATATGAAGAAATAAGTATCCAACTACCTTTCAGAACATCTCACGAGTTTTGACATGATTCTTTTTATTGGATAATCTGAAAGTATTTTTTTTAAACATTTCGTCTTCTTCGTGTTCTTTGTAAGGAAGTTTCGAAAGAAAAGTGAGTTTACAGTAGACTCGGACAACGTTTTATTAGAATTTCATTCGAATCGCTTAATTTTAAATTTGATTAATGATTTGATTATTTTTTTTATTTTATAGGATGAATTAATTTGCTATTTCTTTCATACACTCTACAACAGTATATATTATTAATCGACCAAATTAAAATTTGTTTTGGATGAAGGATTTGGAGATAACGAACAGTATTCAATCTTCAAAGTCCATTAAACAATGTACAAAATAAGAGCAAAGCAAACACGGATCTCGGAAACATCAGAGGTGAGATCAGGTACAATGAAGGAGTGAGCATCCCCAGCTGACCGGTCACACCCGCCGTGTGCTCGTTGTCATGATCAGGAAATAACGGAAAAAATCCGTCGTCAATTCAGTGTATAAATAATGGACTAACAATTGGTATGAAAAACATCATTTCATCTGATAAATTGTATTTGCTGACAAGGTCATTTTATCGACCATAGAACTTACGAAATGATGACTTTAAACGAGACTGTTGATATTCTTGTTTCATTAACTTGCTTTTCAATAATTTACCTCGTTTAAGAAATTGTTCATACGTAGTGCATGCTCTTGCGTATCGAATCAACTGGGATATATATACTCCGTACGCAGGTGATGAAGGTATATTGCTGCATAAGTAAGGGAAGTTGACGATAGAAAAGTTAAAGTCATCACGTTTATCATATAGGTTGGTTGTTAGATTACCATTAATGTCTTTTTCAAGTAAAATATCCAAGTATGAAGCAGAAGTGTTGGACTCTGTGTATCTTTTATCTCAAGCTCACCAGGATATATCGTATCGACGTAGAAATGGAAATTATCATTATTAATTGACAATACGTCGTCGATATATCTAAATGTCGAGTTGAAGGCCACAGCAAGTGTTTTTTTCTTTTCACGCATAAGATTTTGCATAAGTTCTACCTCATATGAATATAAAAATAAGTCGGCTAATAACGGAGCGCAATTTGTACCCATGGGAATTCCAATAGATTGTTGGAATACCTGGTGTCCAAAAACTACATTGGTATTGTCAATCAGAAACTCAAGCATCTTCTTGATGTCAACTTCAGAGTACTTATGTGTGCAATCAGAATCTGTTTTAACAAAATAATTTTGCGAATTACCAATAACGAGGTAAGTAAATTTACGAGTTTCATTTTTATTGAAGAAGCAGCTGTCAATGATATCAAAAAGCCTGGATTTTAATTTGTCATGGGAAGCTGTTGATTTGTAAAGTCTTGTGATTTCAAATTGTCCAAAAGTTCTTTAGAATTTTTAAGTATCCACATCTGATTTACACCACTTCTTGAATATATAGTTGCACAGTACTCTTGAAGTTTTTCCTTCACTACTGTCAAAATCTTAGTGAGAAGTAACGAAAGAGGCTTGGTTGAACATTAACTGGAACCTGCAATGTATCTTTGTTTGTAAGGATTCTTATGAAGTTTCGGAATCCAATATATATAAGGTAGTTCAAATTCATTTTGGCTCTGTGGAAAATTAAAAGTATTCAAAACTGACAGGTGATTTTGAAGAATTTCTTCCTTAGAAAGAGAAGTATGGGTATAAGTAGGATTACCACTTGTAGAATTAAATCCAAGTTCATCTAGAATGCAATTTATATAATGAGCCTTACAAACGAAGACAATGTTGTTACCTGCTTTGTCGGCAGGAACCAGTACATACTGATCGTGTAATCTATCTAATTCTTTTTTCACTGCTGGTTTATTGAACACAGAAGGATAGGTGGTTTTCATTTTGCCCCTCAATCTTTTAATACGTGATTTTAACATGGATCTGATACATATGGAACTCAATGATAAAAAGAATAACCAATAATTCTATGTACAGCACAAATTTGAACCTTTAAGAGAAATAGCAAATTTTTGGTTCTCAAGGGGAGCGAAGCGTTTCTCGAGGCTGCGAAGCAGAATTCCGTTTCCCCCGATTTTCATTTCGGAACTCTTCTAGTTTATTGAGGCGTAACAGAAGATTAGTAAAGTTGGCTTTGGTATAATGAACCGCCTGTTCATTGATAATTTTGATAATAACAAGGTTATTGCCCTCTCAACAAAAATTATTTTCGTTTTTTGTCTTGAGGAGGTAGGATTTGAGAATATACTTGCTATTGTCTTCATAAACAGGAAATAGATGTATTACCAGATATCTGTTACTAACAGTTTGTAGTTAGTTGAAATATAATTGGTATCGTACCTACAGTATTGCTATAAAGATCTTTTCCTTTGACTTGGCACAGTTAGAACGGCTGTTTTTGGTCAATATGAATATAACCAAAAAGGAATACATATTTCCAAAGAATAGAAAAATATATATATATATATATATATATATATATATATATATATATATATATATATATATATATATATATATATATATATATATATATATATATATATATATATATATATATATATATATATATATATATAAAGCACAAATTACAACAACTCTTAAACTAATAGAACTGCCCTAAGTGAAGGAATATTGATATAGAAAGCAAAGAGAAATTCACTTTTTACAAGGATACTCACTTCCGTCCCAGCCCGGGGATGAACTCTCGACCTACGGAATCTGTCTCCTAGTAGTGCAGGAACAGCGCGTTAGACCGCTCGGCTATCTAGGCAAGTTAAAAACCTTGCTTTCAATGCCGATGGAATTCTCACAACGCTGCCCTACACTACACGGTCATTGAGAATGGAAGTGAGATACAGTTATTTGGACATTAGTTTTTAAAGGATCGTTCCCAATACATGTTGTGATGAAATTAATTTTATTTATAAAGCACAAATTACAACAACTCTTAAACTTATATAACTGCCCTAAGTGAAAGAATATTAATATAGAAAGCACAGAGAAATTCACTTTTTCACTTCCATTCTCAATGACCGTGTAGTGTAGGGCAGCGTTGTGAGAATTCCATCGGCATTGAAAGCAAGTTTTTTAACTTGCCTAGATAGCCGAGCGGTCTAACGCGCTGTTCTGTACTGCTAGGAGACAGATTCCGTAGGTCGAGAGTTCAACCCCGGGCTGGGGCGGAAGTGAGTATCCTTGTAAAAAGTGAATTTCTCTGTGCTTTCTATATTAATATTCCTTCACTTAGAGCAGTTATATTAGTTTAAGAGTTGTTGTAATTTATTTATATATATATATATATATATATATATATATATATATATAAAATTAATTTCATTACAACATGTATTGGTAACGATGCTCTAAAAACTAATGTCCAAAAAACTGTATCTCACTTCCATTCTCAATGACCGTGTAGTGTAGGGCAGCGTTGTGAGAATTCCATCGGCATTGAAAGCAAGTTTTTCAACTTGCCTAGATAGCCGAGCGGTCTAACGCGCTGTTCTGTACTGCTAGGAGACAGATTTCGTAGGTCGAGAGTTCAACCCCGGGCTGGGGCGGAAGTGAGTATCCTTGTAAAAAGTGAATTTCTCTGTGCTTTCTATATTAATATTCCTTCACTTAGGGCAGTTATATTAGTTTAAGAGTTGTTGTAATTTGTGCTTTATAAATAAAATTAATTTCATCACAACATGTATTGGTAACGATCCTCTAAAAACTAATGTCCAACTAACTGTATCTCACTTCCATTCTCAATGACCGTGTAGTGTAGGGCAGCGTTGTGAGAATTCCATCGGCATTGAAAGCAAGTTTTTTAACTTGCCTAGATAGCCGAGCGGTCTAACGCGCTGTTCCTGCACTGCTAGGAGACAGATTCCGTAGGTCTAGAGTACAACATCGGGCTGGGACGGAAGTGAGTATCCTTGTAAAAAGTGAATTTCTCTGTGCTTTCTATATATATATATATATATATATATATATATATATATATATATATATATATATATATATATATATATATATATATATATATATATATATATATAAAGCACTAAAATACCAACAACACTGTATATCCTAAATGTCGGATCTACCAAGTAGATACAAGGTCTCGGATGGAAATTTATATAAAGCACTAAAAATGACCAACGACACGAACAATAAAAATTGTCAAATTTTCGGGACGCCCTGTCCCTTCCTCAGGACAAAGAAAAAAGTTAAAAAGTCATAAGAACAAAGGAAAAAGAGAAACAAAAACAACTAGCACTACTACTAAACTACTAAACACTAGATATTTACATACTTAATTACATGTTGAATTGAAAATTTTTAAGAACACTAACAAAGAAAGAAATCCGGACCGCTATGAAATGCGTCCGGTCTATCGGGTATACTCGGGTGAAGTGCGATTTACATAATTGAACGAATTAATTATGCTACATGTAATCAATTACGACAATCAGTAAATCGTACATTGTTTCATTCTCTCAAAATGGCGTAACTTTACTTAATAAAGAATAATGAAAGAAAAATCATATAGTAGGGATATTTAAACATATGAATTATGATCAATTATAAATTTGAAATATTTAAGGACTTATAATCGGGAAAAAATTCGTAAGCAATACATAGTTATCTGGGTTGTTCGAGAGTTGGTGACGCAAATTAACTGTAGAGTTTACACTAAATTGAGAGAATAATCTTGTTTAGTATGATCAGGAATTGGGTCTAGTTTACGTTCATTCTGGTGAAGTCATTCAATTTGTTAATACCATTAGGGCGGAATGACTTCAATCTGTGCATCTAGAACTTTTCTTGCTTTTCCTCTGAGCATCTGTCTATCTTGGGTTATGGTCAATCACCATTACTGTCATGTCCTCCCATTTGTGAC